AAATATCGCATTAAAGCATTTTTAAAACGGTTGTGGGTGATTTTATTAGATGTTGAAAAGTACATAATATATACCGATATATATATATATATATATATATATATATATATATATATATATATATATATATATATATATATATATATATAGGAAGCCACAAGCACTCAAGGGCTTACAGAGAGTTGGAGCGAGAGAAAATAGGTGTGATAGAGGCAAGGATGAAGAGAAGCATCTGGAGACGTCGATTTACATTACATTTGAATTGTTGGAGGTTATAGCTATCAGGGAAACAGAAAAGAATTCATGAAGTCTGGGAACCAGCGAAAGCAGCTCATCGGAGCAGATACCATGAAAGTATTTGTAAAAAAAGACAGATGGTGGCGACGACACATCCGTGGGAGAGCGACTGCAGACGTGATACCAGATCAGGGCCAATTACATTGCATATCTGTTTCTGGATCTTGTCAAGAACCCTGAGACAAACAGAGGGGAGCATTTTCCTTGTGGTTGACGAAGCTATTGACTCAATGTATGTGTTCAATCTCAGGTCAGCAGTCAATGTTAAACCGAGTAGTCGCAAAGAGTTTTTCTCGAGAAGTTGAGCGTCAGACATTCTAACGGGGGACTGGGATGGTTATCTGTGGTGAGGGGAACACCTGCGTTCGTGGGATAGGAGCTGGAGGAGAATCTGTTCAGAATGACATTCAATACACAGTTTGACAGGAATGATTTTATTGTCAAACAATCGAGCTGAAATTCCATAACCCCGAAGCTTGCGAAGAAGGCCGGCATATCAAACCCTATCAAACGCTTTGGATATAGCTAGAGCCGCAGCACGAGCTTCTCCGTTATTATGAAGAGCTTGGTAAACAATTTCAGTGATGACCGTACGGGCAAACCGGAAACCATATTTCTTGTCGGAGAGTAGATCATGGGATGTAAGGTGCTTAACTACTTCGGCATTGATTAAAGCTTCGAAGACTTTGCCGAAGAGGGGTAGGAGACTGATAAGACGGTAATTAGAAGGGTCCGAAAGGTCACCAGATTTCTTAAAGACAAGAATAATGGATAAGGACTTCCAACAGTCTGGAAAACAAGATTCATTGAGACAGTAGTTATATAATTTGGAGAGGGCAGGGGCCAGTTCAGGCTCACATTTCTTCAGGACAATGGCTGGTATCCTATCACCACCACTAGCCTTGTAGGGGTCTAAATTAGAGATAATGCCCAATACCGATGATGGGGTTATGTGCAGCTCGCTCAATAGAGCCACAGTTCTAAGAGGGGAATCGGGTGTTGGTACACCGGAATAGTCGAGCGTTGAATTGAATGAGAATTTCCGAGCAAAGCATTCAGCCTTGTCGGCAGAAGAGGTCAGAACCTCGAACTGGTTGAACAAAGGAGGTATAGAGGGTTTGCTATTGTTAAGTACGCCCTTGCAGAGACGCCAATAATCCTTGGAGTCAAATTTGCGAGATGCAATACGTTCTTTCATTCGAGCAGCAAATAGTGACTTTGCTTCATTGAGGACACGCTTACACTCGTTACGGGCAGAGATAAAGAGACGCCTATTGCAGTCAGACATGTCGCTACGATATAGGTGGAAGAAGAGTTTCCTATGGGCAATGGGAGCTGAGCTTATATTTCCTTGAAGGAAGGAAAGCTTCGATTCCAGCTTTAACCCAGGAGACCTCGGAAGCACATTCTTGAACGGGGAGCGTAAAGACAATATCCCAAGGGACATCGCGAAGGAAATACCGGAACGAGTCCCAGTCTGCTCGTTGATAGCAGAACGAGGTTCTAGTGGTAGGAGCTTCTTTGCAGGGGGTGGAATTGAAGGAAATATTTATAGACACTACAGCATGATCAGAATTGCCAAGAGGACAGAGCTGCGTGGCGCTACAGGACTCGGGGATGGAGGTAAAACATAGATCAAGAAGAGAAGCCTTACCACCCTGGTTGTAGGAAAAACGTGTGGGGAATTCGACTATCTGCATGAGGGATTGAGAACTTGAAAAATTAAGGGTTTGAATGCCTGCAAGTTCAGTAGTAGCTTTTTTAAGCCATTTGGTATGATGGGCATTGCAATCACCAAACACAAATATGTGAGAAAATGGATGGAGAGAGCTTTTATATATATATATATATATATATATATATATATATAAAAAGAAAAATTATTTCGATTATGTTTTTATTTATTTTTTCTCATAATTTTCCTCTTTTATGTAGAAATTTTCCGAATGTTCTGTATGTCCGAGATATGTTTCAGCTATACTTTAACCTTCATCAATAATTCTTTATTTTTCCTTTTAACTGGATGCACGGGATTGTTTTATATATATATATATATATATATATATATATATATATATATATATATATATATAGAGAGAGAGAGAGAGAGAGAGAGCGAGAGAGAGAGAAAGAGACAGACAGACAGAGATAGAGAGAGAGTAATGTTTTATTTTTCCAAGCTCGTTCAGTACCATTTAGCCGTGTTCATAATTGATGTTATTGCATGTTGACTTCTTGTTTTTATTAATAATACTTAATAATAACTATACTGTATTAGCCTTTTCAACGAATATATTCCGGTTGGATTTGGTACGTCTCCATGTGTATTTAAATGATACCTTCTTGAGCTATGTTCAGAGCGATATATCGTGTGTTAGACCTGTAGTATCTAATATATTTTTTTATGTATTTACTTTGACCAGAAACACAGTTCTTTAAGGGACATGTGAATTGATCAATAACATTATTTCTCTGTAAATTGAAACATGCAGGTATGCTATTGCTGTTGACGACGAGATTAACAGTTTTAAAATTTATTGTAAATATAATAAATATTGTCAATAAATTAATTTTCTTGTCTTCGTCGGCTAGATTTGTATATTTCTTTACATGCTTTCTAAGAGAAGATTCATCCTGTTTATAGTCATCAGGAATTTGAATTTTATAGAATATGTTAATATTATATTTTTTATTTGTATGTCCTGTATTGCTATTGGTTCATATATATGTTCTAAACGTGTCAACATTCCCACATATAGATTATATGTGGATATCCCTTTTTTATACAAGTTTCATTAAAAACGACTGTCAAGTTACTACAGTTAATTTTGTATCCAATTTTTCTTTTGTTCTTATAATTTTCTTCTCATAATCTCCAGAAAAGAAGAAAATTATAAGAATACGAGAAAAAAATTAAATAAAAAACTTAACCGCAGTTTCTTGTCTGTCATTTTTAATGAAACTTGTATACAAATGGGATTACTGCCCAAATGCACAATTATTAAATTAGTTGACCCGGCAGCTAGCAAGAAAAGTAACACAACACACACACACACATACACACATACACGCACACTCACTCACTCACACACACACACACACACACACACACACACACACACACACATATATATATATATATATATATATACACGAATGTAAATGTATATTAATGTATAGAACGATATATTTATATATTTAGTTAAATAATTAGAAATTAATATATTAATCTTGTAAGGGCTTTAAAAGCATGCACGTAAAAGTCACACTTCTTATGGAAAAAAAACTGATGGAACATTATTATATATATATATATATATATATATATATATATATATATATATATGTGTGTGTGTGTATTTGTTTGTATTTATATATATATATATATATATATATATATATATAAATATATATGCATAAATATAAAATATATAAAATATATATATATATATAAAATATCTATAAACATATATATATATATATATATATATATAGTGTGTGTGTGTGTGTGAAATAGAGAGTTACTGTTATGTATATTTTTTTCTATTTTAATTACTCCTACGTTTATTTTGCTTCCGTTTTATCTCGTCTGTTTGCTAAAGTTTCATCCGAACCTATGTTAATGATTGCAATCTCCTACTCGTGTCTTATTATGCAGTTCCTCCTTGATTCTCTGTCACATCTTTCTCTCTTATTGCCTCGTTTTCGTCTTCTGAGCCAATCCTTCTTTATGTCATGTGCACACATCAGTTCACCTGATGTCATTCATATTTCTATTCGTGTACGAATTTGTACGTTCATCTTTCGGGCATTCTGTTCCTTTTGTTAGCGCAAAGGGTCAAGCTTCGCTCACCCATAAGCCACCCGAGGTGGCAAAATGAAAAATGGCGCCGACAGAAGATGCAATAAACGGCTGACAGATTAAATATAATTTACTGGTTGCCATCTGACAAACGAAATATTTCGAAGTTATTTAGAATGTCTTGACATTCTCCTTTAAAGTCGAACCGCTGACATTACTCAATATTCTTTTAATAATCATAAAGGTGACATAAGTGACAGTCTTTATAGGATCATTAGGAGTGGCTGCGATGACCCTCAGGAAAAGACTGTAGAAACGGAAAATCGGTGAAAAGTTCAAACCAGAAGATGGCATTGTTTAAAACAGTTCGGATACTGCAAAGAATTCTGGGGTAATTTGTCACTGGAGCTACAGTGTGGTCCGCTACTTACTGCTTGTGTCTATACTCAGTGAGTAACTACTATTACTACTACTATTAATAATAATACACTAGTTCGGAAAAAAGCACAAAATATACATGACTGTAGGAACGGCAAATATCGTGTAAGCGATTAAGATGTAACCAATAGAAAATTCAGATTTAATCATTATAGGCAATTGTTGGTTGGCTGTTTTTGTTTAGTGGCATATCAGCACCTGTATGGATTATTTAATACTGAAATCTAAATATTTTGTACGAAATTTCTTTTGTGGAGATAATAATGGTTTTAGTGATATATATATTATTAATATAATATAATACTAATTAAGTTTTATTAATTAAGTCATAGTTGGAGGGAGAAGAGATTGATTCATACCTTTCCAAAATGTTATTTGCGCGTAAGTGAATATATATAATGGTTAATGGCTCTCCAATTAACAATTCCGAGCAATTAACCATTACACCACTCACACATCCAAGCTTACAGCACCTAGCATTTCCAAACGGTTACCCATCTAGGTACTAACCAGATTCAACGTTGCTTAACTTCAGTGACCGTACGGGAACCAGCGTTTCAACGGGATGTGGCCGTAAGCCGAAGAGAAAATAATCAAATTATGATGTTAACTTTCCCCACAACTTTAAAAACAAGGTGATAAAAGAAATTTCCTATGAATCGTAGAAGAAGCAATAATAGTAGACGTGGGAAACTTATTTGCCTGAAAATATTTATGAGAAAGTTTTTATAAATTTCAAACGACAATAACGTTATTTGTTCAGATAATGAATGTCGAACATTTCCGTATTGTCTCACTATTAATATTGCCATGCATGAAGATGGATCAATAAGTCTATATCTTGACAGTGTTATTATATGAATTTTGATCTGAAAAAAAAAATTAATGTAGAATATATTTGTCTATATGTTTAGTGAATATGAATCTTGTCAAATTCATTGATAGTCATGAAAGTTATGTTGGAAATAAAACTTTCAGAGGGGAATTAACAGGAGATAACTGATAACTGTCATCCACCAAACATGGCACGAGGAATTAGAACAGTCTACCCCAGTGAGCGAAATAAAGGGTTCAGTTCGACATTCCAACCACTTGAAGAAGGCCGGAGCGTACAACGGCCGAAACGTTGTAATAAATATGGCGAAAAAGATGAGGACAATAGTCCGAATAATGTAAATGATGTAAATAAAATATTTGTTGTGCAAAATAAATTTAGTCTGCGTACTTCTTAATTCACTTTCAAAATGCCATTGATAAAGAAATAGTCACTGCAGTCAGTCAGTCAGTCAGTCAGTCAGTCGACTGGCTGATCGGTTGAACTCTCTGCTTTCGGGCGGGGAGGAACTCGAAAGAGGCTACGCCGAAGGGCGGATTTTCTTTCGGGGAGGTAAACCGACCCTGAACCCATTTATACGGGTTCAATGGGCATATTTTTGGCCGAGCCCACGGGCTCGGAGATCCCACGTTAAAAAGGCCTTGTGCCACATGACGCCCTCGTGGGGGTGGTGACTGAATATCGTCACTGCAGTTGTGTCTCTTTTAGTTTTGGATCATTGTTATTGTCAAAGAAGTCCTACTTTGGAACTCGCCAGAAGGCCGAGTAATCAGCAGCCGATTGCTAAGTACAAGATACCGCTAAAACAACTATTGTACTAAAATAAATCTCTATACAATAACATTAAGTTTTATTACTGCAAAGGATTTGGTAATTTATCATATTATTTTTATATCTCTTTGTTTTTTGCTTGTAAATCCTTTTACCATAAAAGGTGGTCACATTACTCATTCCCATCTATGTATCTGGTAAAAGTAACCCCAAGAGTCAGCGTTCTCTTGACATATTTCCAGTTTAAATGTTCTTCTTTGTAACATCTCCCTTTACGACATTGGTTACCACTGCTCTCCACAATTTCTTACCATTTGTTTTTTTTTCTTAACTGCCATCTAGAAGTCTCAACATATCCCTTTACTTTAATATTGTGAATTGCCATGCATCCTTCATAAAGATAGTGGAGTGGTTTCCTGTTGTCTTCACCACAGTCTGAAATTCAGTTTTCCTTCTCTTATATTGGTTGTCATCCAATTCTATCCCGATATTTAATCTATAGCTGATTGTGGTGGCAGAAAGATGGATTTATGCTGTTTTTTTAAGATAGAAATTTAATCTCGGTTTACAAATTCCAATTTCTGCACCGATATGTTACACTGCAGACATTTTCCGTTATATTTTGTTACTCAAGCAATACTTGCTCCTTTATGACTGCTCTTTGTTGTTGCGCCACTTGTTACTTTGACTCTTTTAAGCGCCGTGACCTTTCGGTACGCGGTTGATCATGGTTCTACTTAACGTCATATATTTTTTATTCGAAGTAAAACTTGCTCTTTTACAACTTTCATTTTGTCTTTGTGATATTTGTTCTTATAGACGTTTCTTCTTCTTTTATGTACCATGTCTGTGGTCGATTATGGATCTCCATAACGTCATATCTGTTGCTATGCTAATGTTGCTACTTTACACTTGAACTTTGTCTTTGTGGTAACAGTTGTCCCATTCTTTACGTTTCTCACTACTTTCCCATGCATTTCTGTTGTGGCCTTGTTAGGACAAGAAATAAAGACACAAGAGAGGAATTGAGTATATCAAATATATTAACAAAAACAGTAATACGAAGAAATACACACGAGGGTGTTACAGAAAGAATGTTCGGTCTGACTGTCAGAGCTGACTGCTGAAAACTTCCCCCTGCAAAAGGAAGTACCTGCTCCTATTTATAGCTGGGAGAGTCCATACGTGCGTGGGTAAATTACCATAACATTTTCATATATTACGTGATACTAAATTCTCCAAGACTATTTTCTCGTGGTTTGTTAAAAATATTTCAGTCGCTCAATTTCTGTTTTTTTTTTTTTTTTTTTTTTTAGAAAGGGGTTTTTTCATATTTTTAAAATTTGATGTTTTTCATATATTCTGTGTATGTTTTTTTTAAGATTCGTCGGTAGAAGCACATCTCTTTTGCTTCAAATATTTTTTCATCTGTCATGATATCACCTAACATTTACACCTATATAGGATATTAGACATTTCATAGAAGCTTTGGATTCATTTCCTTGTTACTTATAACATTATTGAATCCTTATATTTTTTACTAGGATTCTGAAAATCATACTATTTCTATATATTTTCGGATTATGTCATTCTTTTCATTGTATATGACACTAATATAAAGGTAGTTAAATTTCTGCAGCTTCTGATTTTGACGTCCCCGATACGTAACTCACAAATTAGGTTGTCCCTTTTACCGACAATCATGCATTCTGTCTTCTTCTAGTTATTGGTTTAACGTGTCTTCTTGTTTTCCTCGACTAATTTGTAGAATAGCCTTTTAATTTTCCTTCTGAATCTGCTATCAATACAATGTCAGCCATGTAGCATATGTTGTTAAGGTAACGTCAGTCGATAATATATCCTGGTTGATCTTCTCGTCCCCTTAGAATAATCTCTCTGTATAGGTTAGGATGTTGTAATTTTTCACCATGGCTGCATTTATCTGTATCATTTGCCTCTATAGCCGCTAAACGCACTTGTATAAATATAATGTTCTCCTGGTTGTTGTCAAGTTAAAAAGAAATGATGGTGGGGTAGCGGCCTCGCAGTGACTGTATACAAACTTGGGAATAGTCACGCGACAGAAAATGTCCGTGTTGCTAGCCTGGAAATGTTTCGTTTTAACAATGGCGTCGTTAGAGAATATTTGCACGGCTTTCGCTACAAATTTGTGACGAACTTACCAGGATTATCATTATGATAATACACTTCGTTAACTTCACGCGGTTTCGCGTGTTTGCGCCTGAGCAGACGCGAATGTTGTTAATTGTTAAATATCGATGTATACTTAATATGCACACGGCATACATCACGCTGATTAGGTACAAATACAGACATTTTTTTTTGTTTATGACGAAGTAGTTGGATATTTCCGGTCTACGCATATTGGCAATGTTCAAACTCGGCTCAAAACCAAAAATTCAAACGCAAGTAAGCATTTCCCGGGTAGGAGATTGCTGCTATACATTCTTCTCATTGTTCAAAATGTTTTCGACGGCGGCTGTTTGCATGTATTTATGCAAAGGCGATCTGTTCTATAATCTGACTTTCATATATTGGTAATATGTCTGATTTCCCCTATTTCGGAAATGTGATACTCCATTGTATATGGTATCATGGACGTCATCTGAAGTTAGCATAATTCATATGAGATCAGAAATACGTTGCTTTTTATTTCTTTTAATTCGTGGAAAATGTATTTGGATATATCAACATTAATGATTAAAAACGACATTTTTATATTGCAAAATGGTATTCAGGCATGAAGTTAATTGTATAGATAAAAATCCTAGATTATCCATGTAGAAAATATAAATAAAATTCCATATGGCATTCTTAAAATGCTTTATATAACGGTAGAGTTCGAATTACCAGCCACGCTATCGCCAATTTCAACACCGTAAATAGAAAAAAAAACGAATAAACGATCGTTACAAATGAATTTATATAACAATGTTTTAAAATATTTATACTTGGAGATATGTAATTTCATGTTTTCAATATGATAATATTTTGAAATTTGTAATGTTTTATTTTTAAATGAATAATTAAAAACGAATTTTAATGAAAATGAAACTTATGTCTCGACAAAATGTTCAACAGTTCTCGTTATTCAAGAATTAATATCAAATTTTAAGTCTGTTTACTTAATATATACCATTGCGTCAGTTTGGAACCCGTTGCCAATAGATAATATCAATGTGTATTATAGACACACCTATTTATATTTAATATAAAATCTATATATTGCGTAATTCTAGTGTCAGCTGCTTTCCTATTCAGAAAATACATTAGAATTTAAGAATCAGAGCAACTATTGTTGGAAAAATATTATTTCTTTCTTTTTCCTTTTCTTTATTATTTTCTTTCTCGTTCATTTAATTTTTTTCTTTCTTTCTTAATCATTTTTTTTTTCATTTTTATTTCATTTTTTTCTTTATCGATCTTTTAACGAACTTGTGTAAATGGTTAGCAACACAGGAATTAGGAGGAATAGCAAAACAACAAATATTACTAAGAGCTACAAAAGACAAGAAGTTGTGGAGAGCCATGATCGCCAACCTCCTGAAGGGACACGGAATATAGAAGAAGAATTTTCTTTTCGTTTTTCCTTATATCTTAAATATTTTTCTTTTATTTCTTTTTTGATCATTTCATTTTCTTTCTTCCTTTCTGTCTTCCTTTCGTTTTTTATTTATTTCTTAATCATTTAATTTGTCTACTTTCCTTCATGATATTTTACTCACAAAGTAATACTATCATCTCGAATTCAACCGTTGAACCTTGTATTAAATAAAATTCCATGATTTTTACAATATTGATATATTATTTTGTTTATTTTAATATCCAGGAAATATTAAAATCAAATAAGAAAAACAATCTTGATTAATAACAAAAATTGGGATCATGATTCACAAGCGCACAAATATACATATGTTCTGTTTATACTTCATTTTTATAGACAGAAATAT